ATAGCTGGGTTTTAACAGATACTAGTAGGTAAAAAGGCCCAAAAACTTTTTTGGTCTTTTTCACTGAATTGTTCTTATTTTCACTATTTTCAGCTCGTAACAAATTATTTAAGCTTTGTATGAGTGTAATTAGATGCACAAGAGTGTATTGTCGGCCCCTAAAAATTATTAAGCGTTTTTGCCAGCCTTTAACTATTTGAATTTATTTTTTTGACAATATTTTTGGCAATCCTCCTTCCCTTTCCGCAGCTCCAAAAATCGCTGTCCGAATCGGGATTGTGTGTGGTAAATGACCTCGTCCCACATTGGTCACGCTGTACTTTACCGCAAAAGGAAAAGGAAAGGGGGAGAAGGAAGACCCCGACACGGAATTCCTTTCCATATCCCTCTTGGGTAGCTTTTTTCTGGTTTTGATTGAGCTTGGCACGCCCAACACATGGGTTCAGTGATCTCTGGGGGTCGAATTCAGACATTCATTTCCTTAACTTTCATTCTAACTCGAAAACAAACCCGGTGCCCCCGGTGTGCCAGTTAAAGTACGTTTCCGTGCTACCCCGTACGGTCCCGTAAAGTACACCCCTTAATACGCCCAGATCTACTGCCGAGAGATCGTTTTTTCGGGGAGCGTACGGAGCAGCACGGCGATGAACTTATGGTTCGCTAAAAAAAAAATAAAAGGGGGGGAAAAAAAAGGGGGGGAAAGGGGGGTGGAAAAAACCCGCGCAACTTAAATTTTTGAGTAATGAATTAAGCTAGTGAAAGCTGTTCGTATAAATGAAACTGTCAAAACTTGACGGTCCTCTTAAAAGGACTAGGAAGCTTGAGATTCGGCCCTTGCAATGACTAGGGACGGCTACCTGGCGCTCCAGGTGACTGGTGTGATCGGGCGCGAACTCCAATGATCTAGCGATCGCTTCTGGCTGGGCTTGGGGCTGATGAAACTTAGCCTATACCTTCTTGACGCTTTCGAGCTCCTTTAAAGCAATTTCAAAGCCTTCGTAGCGCCGTGCAGAACGGGTTTTTTGTGATCTTGGAGTTTCGAGATGGGATCAGGTCGATCCTGTGCAGAATTCTGCGCTCATTCGGACCGTATTTCTGTGCTCCTTTTAAAAACTTTTGATCGATGATTTTGAAAAAGTTTAGACGTCATTTAGTGGCAAAAAAAGCACATTTGCGTACCAAAACCAGAAAAACGCGTTCTTTCGAATGAGGTATCTCGTGTCGATATCTAAAAATTTCGTAAAATTTCCTAAAATTGATGCCCCAGCCCAAGTCGTATAAAAATTGTCTTCGCTGATCTGTTTGTCTTCTTATTTCGTAGACAGTTCTGACCTAAGTTCACGGTTCCACGAATTTCACGAGCAAAAACAATACAAACCCTCTAGCCTCTCAAAATTTTGTTCTCTGTTCCCGCAGGATCGCTCCCTCGTGCACAGCCGTTCCCCCAAACCACAAGCCACCGCGCTCACCAGCTCCTTCAGCTGTCTGTCTGTCTGTCTCCCTGTCTCCCTGTCTGTCTGTCTGTCTATCCGTCTGCCTCCCTATCTATTCCAGCCGTTCCTCCACTCTTTCCCTTCCCAAAAAATCTTGTACTTTCCGCGGGGCTACGTGCAGAACGGCCCCTCCCCAAAATGCCCCCCAGTTGAGCAAAGCTTCCCCTCCAGTTCACCCCCCTTCACCCCTTCCCTTGCAGCCGATCAAAAATTCGGGCTACTTTCTGAATAGAGGGCATCTGGGGAGGGTGCCTGAACTTTTCGTCTAGTTTTTGCAGGGCTTTTACCTCGCTTTGTCGATTTTTCCTAACTGGAACTTTGACGCCTGAACTCGCAAAGCATTTGGGCGTAATAAGAGGCCATTTTTCAACTAAAATTTTGCCTGGTTCACCAGCTTTTTCAGTTTTTTTCCAGTTTGTAATAAATTACTTGTTTTGCCCAAAAACATTTTGTTTGTTTTTTCAATAGAAAATGCTGGTTCTAAAAATTTTAAAGGCGCTTATATTTAAGCAAGCTTATTGATTTCTAGCATATACTGTAACTTTCTGCAGCACGCGTCATTTTTATGATTTTTTTTTATCTGTTTCAGCTTTGACTTCTGAATTCCCGGGAGATTTTGCATCCAAATGTGGGCAGATTTTTGATCATTTAATTTCGACATTTTCTTAAAATCTTTACGGTTTTAATTACAGCCTGACGCGTTTCAATTCCGACCTGCCTATTACAAATTGAATGACTAAATAATGATTTATAAGGAAATTTAAGTTAGACTTATATGGACTGTTAAATTCAAATTTAAATATGCGATTTTCTAAGATTTGATAGCTTTGATTACCACTGAAAAGCGGCACCTTTTAAATACAACAATGTGTTTTTTTGATTCCCTGATGCAAAATATGCAAATAACCGCCTTGCCAATCTCACACCGCCAAAATTAAAGCAAATCCGATTCCTCAGACATTCCACCAAATATGCTCGCACCCGCCCTAATGGATTTCTTTTCGCGATTCGGCGGTTCGGGTTCAGAAAATGGGCCGAGCCGGGGGTCGATTCGAGCAATTCTGGCAATTTGCGGAGAACCCGAGTATTTTAGAGCTAGAGAGAGAGAGAGAGCGAGGGTGAGAGAGAAAGAGCGAGAGTGAGATAGAGAAAGAGGAAGAGCGAGAGAGTGAGAGAGTGAGAGAGTGAGAGAGAGCGAGTGAGAGTGCCCCTGAGGGGCTGCTGCTGCTCTAGATGAACGCGAAAAAGAAGCAGAAAGAGGGGACCGACGCGTTCAAAAATACATTTTTCTGGTGGGCCCCTCCCCTTTCTGGGGGTGGCCTGGTTGGGCCTTTTCTGGGCCCTCCCAACACGTCGAAGAAGGGAAAAAGGAACGGAGAGGCCCCAGTGCTTCACTCGCCACAACTTGCTCTCAAAACTGGGCGTGTGCTGCCCTTTGCAAAAATCTTTATTTCCTGCTATTTGAGGGGTATTGATTGATTTTTGGACTTTGGCTTGTCGATGCTTTTTTCTTTGGATTTCCTTTAGTCAAATTTTCTGCTATTCTTCCAACCTCAAAATTAATTTTCATATATCCGAAATTTTTTTTGCTACGTCCTAAAAAAATGCTTTTAAACCCTGTTTTCTTCTCTGAGTTATACCCATGTATTTGCTAGCACAATTTTACGCGTTTGGCTTTGCATCCGGGGTAGTCTTGCATTTTAGCATTCCGCTTGCAATTTCAAGAAATTCTAAGCATTGAGAAAAACATACGGAACGTGGCGAGTACACCAAACCATCCAGCCTCCTGCAACCGTTCCCCCGCGGGCCACTTTTTGCCCTTTTTCCGTGCATTTTTGCAGGAAATTTCTCCTCCTGCGCGCGGGAGGCCCCGCGCGGCCCCTTTGTGTCACGTTTTAGAGGGGGAGGAGGGTGGGACCTGGTCCGTTCCCAGACCATACGCCTACTAGGAAGAGAGGGCCCGTGGACACAATACGCCTAGAAACACCCTAGAAGGGGAGGGGAGCGAACGATCAAAAGATGCGTTTTGGAACCGTATTTTGGCTGGAAGCTTGCATCCATATTGCCCGGACAGCTTGCTTAAGATACCTCAGCGTTAGACTTCGTTCGATTTCGCCTCCTGAAAACACAAAAATACGCCTAAAATGCCTCATCTGACGCAAAGAGAGGTTGTCGAGACCTAGTCGACGCAAAGGGTCGAAAACCGCGCTTCCCCGTCCCTTTAAAACTCGTCAGAATCGATTCCTCTTTCCGCACACAACAACCACCCTAATAAAGGGTGTATTGGCGTCCCTCGTAGAAATCAAGACCTAATTGACGTAAGGGGTCGATTCTCACGTCTCCCGAACCTTTTAGAATACCTCAGCTTTGGACTTCAGGTTCGATTCCCCTCCTCAAACCCAAACATACGCTTAAAATGCCTCATCTGACGCCCTGAGAGGCCGTCGAGATCCTAGGCGTCGAAAGGGTAGATTTGTGAGCTTTCCACTCCCTTTAAAACGCGTCAACGCCAGAGTTCACATTCTATTTCCCTTCCCAAACACAACAAATACCCCGACCACTTTAATCCGTTCCTTTTTGCCGATTTCTGGTCCCTCTGGTGTCTCTGCCTGTCTGCCCCCACATTGGCTTGTGTCTATAGCAGCGGAACGTGTCATCCTTTGCACTTTTATCTAGCCATTCCCTTCCCGAACCGCATCAACAACTTTTTGCCCCGTGGCCCTCGCTCCCTTTCCTTTTTGGCTTCACTGGACTTGTGGAAGCAAAAAACTTGGGGGCGTGGCTTTGGCTTGGACACAACATCCGGACTCGAGAAACTCGAGAAACGCGTGGAGGAACACTTCGGGGCGGGGGGAGACACATCTGCTCGCTTGAGCGGGCAATTTGACCTTTTCGGGGCAAGTTGGGGCATTGAACATTAATAGGAGGTTTTATTGATTATTTTTATTATGATTGTATCATTCAAATAGCGCTGGTATATTTTTTGACTCGTATCTAGTTTTACCATCCATCATTTTCCAGATGTGTTCTGCTTTTTTATCCGTTGCTTGGGGTGCTTCACGCTCTAATGAAAAATGACCCCTAGAGGTGTTATCTGATAGTCGCTATGCATTAATAGGAGATTCTATCGATCTTTCTTATCATGGTTATCGGATGCTAATTTCCGTGGTTACCTTAAAAGATTTGCTGGTGTTCTATCTTTTCAGAATTCTCTTGCCTTTTTAATGTCATCTTTTATTGGTATCGCATAATGGTTTAGTTCCAGCTTTTGTAATTATTATTTTTTTAATACCCTGGACTTACTTATTTACAGCGTTTTCTCGACATTTATCACTATTCTGTCTTTGCTATTTTCTTTACAACTTCGTTACGATGTTCATGCACTCTATCCATTGTTTTTCTCTAATTTCAGCAATTCTCAAATGCTTCTTCAATATCCCGTGTATTCTATCGCTCCTGATATAACACTCTAAATTGCTTACATATTCCAGCCTGCACCGCTCTGAAATGGGCTTCATTTTTGTGGTCGACACATCGCTAACGATGGGGCTACAGCTCGATGGACAGGTGCGAATTTTTTTGGGAGATCATACAAATAAGTGCAACTATGGTTTTGATTGGAAGTTTTGTGGGCAATGACAGCATAAGCGAACAAATTGCAGCAAGGAAATCCTGACAAAAAATTACGACAGAAAATACTGTTCATTCGGTATCGATTACGCCGCTGTAAATATCAAAATTTGAAAAATTGAGCAAGCGTTGGAAATCAGCTAATAATCGAATTTAATGACATGTTCAAACAGTCAAAGAATCGTCAAATTGCGTTAAGCATCAAAAATAGTAACTATTTCAGCCGTCCTGCTCCGTGGAAGATTCGCGATACGGCGTAGCGTCTCGGATAGCCTGTGGCCTCATTCAGCGAGCCAAGAAAATGGTCCCCGAGCCCAGGATCTCACTGGTATTTTAGATCGAACACCGGGGATAAATTACCATTCTGAACGCTTCAGTACCGCTCGGGTGACAAGGTCGAGAAGCTGACCACCGAGGTCGAGTCGGCGGCCGCGGCGCAAAAGATGCTGACGAATGGGTTGGTTTTTTTTTTTTTCAAAAAAAAAAAATTTCCCCCCCCCTTTAAAAACCCAAAAATGAAGTAATTTTTTTAAAAATTTAAAAAATTTTTAAAAAAAAAACGAAGAATTTAATTTTTTGTTTTTTAAAAAAAAAAAAGTGGGGGGGGGGGGGGGGTTATTTATATCCTTCATTGATAACTTGCGCCCTTTATTTTTAAGGAGACTTGATCACATTTCGTGCAATAATTACGCATAATCTAAACGTTTTGATTCTTTTGTAGTTTGAAACTTGATCTTTCTGCCTTAAAATACTATGGATGTTTTTTAGAGTCCGGTTATTTGGTGAATCGCACACTGGTGCTCTCCTGGATCGCCTAGCCACCGATTTGAGCCCCACTCCCGATGATCACATCATCGTCCTCACTGATGCTACTTCATATGATGTAAGAAAACTTCATTTTTTTTGGATTTACGACGTTAAATAATCATAAGGACCAAAAATTTGCATAATTTTCAGGGCGACGTCAACTTTTTCGCGCCCTGCGAGTGCCGATTCGTTATTGTGAATACGACGAAGAATGGGATGGACCCGACACAGATTGAAGAGCTCGAAGAGGTGTCGGCGGAAAGTTGCGGATATGAAGTGAGTACTAATTACGAAAAAAGCGTAGTACGTAACAATACGCTAAAAAGCATAAGATTTGGGGAAAACGGCCTAAAAAACTCGAAACTCGATTAAATCATGTAAAATACAATAAATAACCAGGGTTGAGAAGCCGCTCGCGACTTTCAACCCTGGCCCCGATAAGCCCATGAAATTCTACCTTGCAAATTCGCCGAATTGTCATGAGGAATAATGAAAAACGCTCCCGCTCTAGGATTATATAGGCTATCCTAACTTCCGGTGCATGCTAATTTTTTCCTAACAGAGAGGGCGCCCGTTTTTTAAACAAAAAACCAATTTTAATGTTCAACATAAGATAATTTGCAAAATATTATACGTGTGCAGTCATCTCGGAAGCATTACGCACCTAATGACGTATCAAACGTATCTTAAAAACTTCCCCTATCGAGTTACTACTGGAACACGCTGACGGAAGTTGCATGCAAATGCACACACACACACAGAAACTATTTTTTTATATATAGTAGGATTCCCAGGTTGGCGAAGACTACGAGGACTACTACCACCTCTTCTACATGAGCCACGATACCTCAGAGGAATCGATCGTCGACGCGGTGGCCGAGGAAATGTTCGTCGTCCCCGTCTATTCATTGTCAATTGGGAACCTGACGGCCACGATTACGGTATGTATCTAAAATTTGGTTTAAATAAGTCGTGCTCCTTTAGACCTCGCCACCAATTTGGGAGGATCGACCCTTTGAAATCGAGGCCATCGGATTTTGCAAGTCGACAAATCTACAGAATATTCCTGTAGCGTCGAATCATTTTGTGTTGCTGGAGAGTGAGTTTTCGATTGTAGTTTATCATTTGCGCATTAATATAGTTCCGAAAGGCCTTTTAAAATAGGTAAAATATTCAACTTACGTTTCCAACAATCAGCCATGTTTCCTAAATACTCTCATTTCCTATTTAATGGCATAGTGACAGGACGCAAAATTACGAAAATTGGACCCCGAAATTCAGACAAATGCTGATTTCCCCAAAACAATCTCGGCTAGCATCATTTTCAAGGGACCGGGCCAGAAGATAACTTAAAACCATTTCTAGCAACAATTTCAGATAAACGCCGCGAAATTGACGTGCCAATGGAGGAAGAAGAGAACTCGCAGAGTGGTGATTCCGATCGCAGTCGTCGAGGTGGACAGCATATTTTGCAGCTGGTAGCGGAGGCGATGAAGGCGGAGGTTGGTGGCCTTATGATTAAAATAGCCACAAAAACCTTGAAAACTACCAAATCAATCCGAAAATAACCGGTCAAAGCATTGTAATTATATAACCAGGGTAGGCAGGGCGCAACCTGGTCTCCAGAAAGGTTTTCGACATGAATTTTTACAAGATTTTCGCTGTAGATTTTGTATGACTTTGCCCTGATTAGAGACACCTTTCCATTGCGTAATGGATTGCGATGCTTTCGCGCTGGCCAACGCCGACGCATGGCGCGTCGCGGAAATCTGTAGCCATAACTTACGTGTCCCTATACCGAATTCCGCACCTAATCTACAGTACCACTAAATTCTTGGCGCCGGAAAAGTGTTATTCCGCCGTGCTTTCGGGAGACACGAGTCGAGAGAGATGTCTGGCAAAAAGCCATGCAAAAAATGTGGCGGGTGACGGAGGAGGGAATGGTGATAAGCCGAGGATAGAAAGAAAGGGGGAGGGAGTGTCTCAGTCACTTTGGACCACCCGAGTGTTTTTGGCGTATTTGTCGAGTCTTCAGCGGATTTGGGGGGTGAGAAGGGGTGGGGGTCACGTAGGCGGTTTCTGGCTCCAAAAAATGAATAGAAAATGTTTGAAAAATACTAGTAAAATTCTGAATTTTGGGAAGCTTTTCAGTATCTAACGGTCAACCAGCAAATTCGAGATTCTCAAAGAATCTCTGCTAACTTGCCTGGAATGGTATCTATCAATTTTAAAGTATGGTTTTCCCCCAAAGAATCTCTGCTAGATTGCTTTCATTAACATTGAATCCAGAAGCACAAACTCGAAATTTCAGATTCTTGAAGAATCTCTGCTGGGCTGCCGATTATTCAAATTAGAAAAAAAACTAGCTGAAAAACTAGGAATTTCCCAAAGAAACGCTGTTGGCTTGCCTGGGCTTTTTTATTCATTTCAAAGACTTTGCCCAATAATTTTTGGCTTGTCTGCCTGGCAGTGATTTTTAAAGAACCATTGAAGTCTGTTTAAAGGGATGGTGACAGCGCGAGAGTGTCAGAGAATGATAGAGAGCGGGAGAAAGATAGCAAGTGAGAGAGAGCGAGCGAAAGAGAACAAGTTAGAGAGAGCGAAGAGAGAGAGACAGAGAAAGAGAGAGAGAGAGAGAGAGAGAGAGAGAGAGAGAGAGAGAGATAGGGGCGAGTGCAATATATGGCAAGAGAAATTGAGACAGAGCCAGTGAACACTCAGCAAAGCAAACTACAGCTTTTGTCTTGACAACTGTCACTCTCCCTTTAATCCCCCATCCCATCATCCCACGACAAAAACTGGCAAACGGCCAAGATAAGGGCCTCCTCATTGCCTTGTTTTTGTGTATTTGTGAGGAGCTGGAGGGTCACGTATCCATCTCTCTCTCGCTCTCTCGCTCGCTCTCTCTCTCCTGCCTATTGCCAGTCATTCAGCCACGTGCTTCTCCCCCTCGCCGCGCCACAACCACAAAAAGCAGAAAAAGCGAACACTTTTTAGGCCTCCTGGCTGGCCGTAGGGTCCGTTGGTCGGGTTGGCCGCGAGCCCTGCACAAACATTCCCCCTCACATGCCCACTTCCCCCGAAAACGTTTTTTGCGGTTGTAGATGTTTTCGCCAGAAATGAGGAGAACGGCATCGAAATGGGGGGGGGGGGAAGTGGATGTTGAGAACGTTCAAAGGGGGAAGGGGGATATTTGAAATGTCTAGAAAATTCATCAAAAGTATACGGCTTTTAAAACTTGAGTTTCAGCTTTGAGTTTTCGTAAAATTGGAAGCTGCCGCCACGAAACTCCTAAAAAAAAATCTTCTTTAGGATAATTAAATCAGCTTTAAGCCTAAAAAGCTTTTTTGTAGAATTAGCTCGTGCTCATTAAAAAACCTGTTTAATTCCGATTTCATTTCCTAAAAAGCCACGCTGGTTGGCCCTAAAACAGCTTTTTCTAGAGCGTTTACAAGATCCTGGTTGCCTCAAAAAAATTCCCATTGCAATCCAACGCAATTAGCGCTGAGTTGAGATTCCTAAAATTCCTCAAAGATTACTGCTAGCCTGCCCAATAACATCTTTTCCCGTTGAACACCAGAAGCTGATACCCGTCTAGCGGTCGGTCTTTGAATGCCTTTCCATTCCCAAAATTTTGCAGATTCCAGAAAGGTTATCCCGTTCAATTTTGCACTGCCCTTTCATGTCCCCACTAAACTACAAAACTCAAAGCGTCTAATCACCGAGTTCGAAGCCAAAATTATACCTCTCTAAGCCGTAATTATTGGTAGTCGTGTAGCCGTGTCAATGATTCCGGAAATTGCGCCCAAATTTTGGAAATTCAGAAGCCTCAGGGGACCAAAAACCATTTAAATCGTCTTAAATTTGTAAATTTTGGATCTGAAAAATTTTGGACACATTGGCTAGTAAATAAATCTGGTAAACTGACAAATGTCGTATTTTAATTAAGGTATTAATCAACTTTGTATTCACTTATTTAATTCGGTAAAAATGCTTTTGGGAGACAATAACTTTTAATTAAAATGCCCTTTAATCTTTGATATTTACTACACTTCCGGTCCGTTTTTACGCTTGCTAACCACGCGCGTAACATTTTTAAGGAACCCATATTTTCTAATCCTTTTAAACATCCTTGAAAACAAGTAAATACTCAAAAAAGGAATAGACTCTTCCCTGATCAGTCCACACTCCATTTTTTGTGTGTTTTCGGGACCCTGCCGAGGCCCCCTTTCCATCTATCCGGAGCAAAACATGAGACGTGACGACCGAACACCACGGTCTCGCCGCCCGGCTTTCAATTACTTTTGGGCCACCCGTGCTGCTCCCCGCCGCCGGGCCCTTTTTTGGGCCTCCCTTCGGAAAGTGCAGACTGCGTGACAGACACTCTAACCAGCAAATTCCACACACACAAACAGCCTCTCAACTTTTTGCGCGGGTCGGCAAGCGCGGGGCACCGCGATGAGATTATTCGGCAGTTTTTAGGTATTTTCCCGGGGGTTGGTGTTCAACGCAAGCATTTTTTCGGGGGGCACAAACTCGTCTGCATTTTTGTGATCATTTTTGAGTGGGGGTGAGGGTGGGATTATCCCGCCACGGCGTCGCGAAGACGTTCGCAATGGAACGGATCTCGCGTTAAATTTTGACGGCTAAAACGGGAGATCCCGGTCTCAGGGCCCGGCTTAAAATAGAGCGGTGATTATTAAAAAGGAGAACTGAATGGCTAGACGCTCGGGGTGAGATTAAAATACTGGGCGGAAAAGAATGAAGATTGTAAAAAAAAAACGCAGATAAACACGCAAAAATGCTGTAACTTCAAATAGTTACCGTCAAAAAATTTAGATAGGGATTTAGAAAGTTTAAAATGTACATTTCCAAACATTAAAAAGTTCATCTTAAAGTTTAAAAATTATGAAAAATTCATTCAAATAAAAATTACAAATTTATCTGGGCCTGAAAATAGGCCAAAGGTACATTTTCGCTAAATTTATGTCTACAAAATCATACAATAAAATAAATACTGACTAAAATAAATATGCATAGAATATTTATTTTATTTTCAGGGCATGACAGCGACCGTTCGTTTTGGTTCCGGCCGGTTCGGGATCCTGTCGACGTACAGCGAGGCTTCATCCGGTCTCCTATTGAGCCTCCTCCCAGCCCCAGCCCTCCTCCCGGCCTATGTACCAAATTTTAACGGTCAGTGGATCTTAAAGGACCATTGAAGTCATGGTTTCTTTCCAGTTCTGACCGTAATCCCCCACCAAAACGATCAATATGAGGATTTGGTGGTGAAGGAGTGCGACGAGCCGGCCAGTCATTTGGCTAATTGTGGGTTATTTTTAGCCAAGCGCCTTGGGATGCTAGTAGTGATTTTTGGGAACTCTAGGGCATGGTAGCAAATATCATTGGTGGATTCCGTCAGCCTATTAGTGCGTTAAGGTTATTTAGCGCGAATTTTTGGGAGTTACATCCTGGTGTGCTAGCCTCGATCTTTAGTCAAAATTGCAGCCGATTTTTGGTAAATTTTTTGATAAACTAACAGAAACCATCGATGAAAATGACTTATCAATGCGTTAAATATCATTTTTAACCACCTTTTTAGTGAATTTACGATCGCAAAATTACTGTAGATTTTTTGGCTAAATTCTAAAGCAAGCTAGCAAAAACCATTTAAGGAAAATTAGGTCTAAATAACTTTTTTTAGTGCACTCTTGGATCAACTCCAGCGGAATCCAGAACGATCTCGGCAAAATTCTACGCTATTTCCGGAAGCTGCCGGATCGTGTGGATCAGTTTTACTTGGTAAGCAACCTTAAAATTACGCCGTTCAATAACACATTTTGTAAACGTGACTAAGAAAAACGTAAATACGGTAGTTAGAACAATCTCTGCAATTTTAACTTGTATAAGACCACCTCAAATTGCAATCTCCAGGAGCTAAACCGAGTACGCTTTTACGCGGCTGTCATCGGTTGCCAGCAAATCCTGCAAGAGCTGGCCAAAATGATGCGCGAGGAATCGGTGCAGTTGAACGAGCAAGTACGACGCCATACCCAGCACGTGTTGCCGTTCCTCGATCTGTAAGTTTCCTCGAAAAATTACTGTCAGTTAGAACTGTGGTTCCACGCTATAAAGCGTATCGTAGTGTAACGTAGTATAACGTATAGCGCATGTTGCGTGGCTTTGCGTATATTTCGTGGCTCGGCGTTTCATAGCGTGCGTAAGGTGCGTGACGTGCGTCACGAGCATTGCTAGTGTATCGTACTGTAGCGTATTACAAAGCGCGTTGTCTAGCTGTGCGCAACGTTGCGCCGTTGTGCAGCGTAGCGTAGCGTTACGTAGTGTAGCGTATTGCAGTCTAGCGTAGCGTAATTAAATGTATCGTTTTTTTAACGTTGTGTAGCTTTGCGTAGCGTTGCGTGTATGAGCTTATCGAGATGCCATTTTTCAAGCTGCTAGTTTTTAAATTAAATATTGATTTTCCCATAGTTTTGCGGTTTCTCAAGGTCTATATTTTTCAGCGATTTAGAATTTGAAATTTGAAGTGATTTGAAAATAGCCCTTTAAAACATCACGAAACGGCCATTTTTCAGTGACATCACCCAAGGCAACCCAATCAAGGACATCCCAATTCTACACTAATGACGCTACTACGGTCAACCGCCAAAAAACGCTACCAATTTCACCGTTCCATGCCGTTTTCTATATCACAACCTCTACCCCGCATTCCCCCGATCTCAACACCACTAATTTCAGATTCTTGTCTCGTTCTTAAATTATCTTAATTTAATTAAATTTCTAATAAATCCCCTATTGTCCCTTGATTTTTATGCGAATTAAATGTACATACAATGTCTCGTCAAAAAAATTCATTTTTATGACAGAATTCCGATTTTATGTGTAATTCTGATTCTAACGACCGATTCCTATGCACCACGAATTTATTCCACATTTATGCACCCACGACTTTATGTGAACACGGACGGATAAAGATAGAATTCGATTGAAAAATATTAAACATAACAAAAAAACAAATGAGACCCATGTAAAAATGCATCATTCATTTAAATAAATAACGTAAATTTTGAGACCAAAAAAAAATTATGGCAGCGCTTATATTATATTTTTTTATAAGCTTATATTCCTGAAGGTTCTAACAGAAAACATTTGTTCAAGCCGGCAAAATCTGGCCTCACACCGGACCCAGGCCGAAACCAAAGAACCCGGCTTCCACCACCATCTCGCCACCATTACTGCTCTGAATACGGTAGATCTGGTCCCGCCAACCGTAAATTGAGGGGTAGCTTCGAATTAGTCGATCTACCTCCAGAGGCGTGTGGCCTAAAATCGACGTGTGCTGGATTTCGCGCTTCCCTGCTAGCCACTGATCAATCAGTAATTTCACGTATTCGGCCGCTCCAACCATGGGGTAGTGTGGCAAGAAATGAAAGGTCAGTTTCGGGACGCACAGATCGATGTATTTCGTCAGAGAAATCTTCCGGGAAATCGTATCGATGTGAAGATGCAAATCATCAACCAATTCGGACATCCATTCCATCAATTCCCGGTGAGGCTTGAAGCACGCAGAGACTTTGGTATATTTTCCGATTGGCTTATGGCGCTTCAGAACCGGCAGTAAGTCTTCCGGATCGAATAGTACGCTTAACTCTCGGCAATGAAGATCGATGCCATCCGGGATATGGCCAGCGAGCTTCAGCTGCTTGACAGTAGCTTTATCGAAAAGCAGCTTCTGTAAGGCGGGCCTCTTGTTCGACAAAACTAGTGTTTTCCAGCTTCCATACATACAAATTCGATAGCCATCCTGTGAATATTCGAGCACTACATGCCAATATTTGTCTCGGCAAATCTTGGCCACTTCCAGCATTTCCCCGCTAGTAATTGCTGTCCTCCGGAAGCTCTCAATATCCATCTGACGCATCACGTTGTGCTGCACTTCAATCGGTAACGCGCAGAAGTCCATCGTCTGAAAATGGATGGTTCAATAGATCAAATAAAAAGGCTGAACGCAAAAAAATAAATTTCTTAAAAACAAAATACAGTTTGGGAACGCAAATGGCAAGCGCCTAACTAAGAAAACCTGGGGGAAAACTGCAGCGAAGAAGTAAATGCAACCGAAATAAATGTGATCAGCCAAACGATCTGTGACCTAAAATGTAACTATCGCGCGGGAATTACACAAGCAAATTCGTTCTCCTGGCAGCACCAATGGCATTGCGGCCTCCGGTGTCGGTGAGATGCCCTGAAGGTACTCTCTCTCTCTCTCTCTCTCTCTCTCTCTCTCTCTCTCTCTCTCTCTCTTTTTTCTCATTCTCTCTCACCTATCAGCAAAGAAAAGAGAAGAGAAAAATATGAGAAATAATCACACACAGCCAAAATCATTTCTTTAAATTGAGCCCTATTGCAATGTGACTCGTTGAGTATTTTTGGGTCATTTTTAGTGCATGCAAACTATAATTTTTTGCTTTGAATGATGATTGTCAGCCAGAGGGCGTGAAAGACTGAATTAAAATATTTATTGTCAGACGAATGTTTTAAGAATTATATAAAAACATTAATTGTTCAGTAAGAATTTCAAAAGCTGAAAAAAGGGAGGAAATTATCGAAAATAGGAGCGCAAAAGCGTTTTAGAGCAATTCAGTCGAAATCGAAGATTTTGGGACGATCCACTATGCAAAAACTCATAGCGAGCCAAGAAAGAATTCTTTGACTTTTGCGTCAGAGGCTCTTGTCAGCTGCTCGGTTGCAGGGATCATTTCGAGGTAATTAGGCGTGATATGTACCGCCATCACATCACCATCTTGCCGCTGGATACGGTAAAAGGTCTTCAACGAGTCCGTGACTTCAATTTTCGGGTAGACCCGAAGGGGTCGAATCAATTCCAGATTTGGCGTGCAACGAATTCTTATTTGATCGATTTGGCGCTTCCCTTGTAGCCATTGTTTGATCAAAAGTCTCACGCATTCTTCCACCCGATCTGAGGAGGCGTCGAATGTATCGACTCGGATTTTCCGTATGCGTAGCTCTCCCAAATAAACCAGAGAAACCCGCTTGGGTCACTGCCAAACAAGATAATCGATCGATTCGGTCATCCATTCCATCAGTTCTCGGGTGGGCGCAAAGCATGCGGTGACTTGCGCATAGCTTCCGATTGGCTTATGTCGTTTTAGAAGGGGCAACAGATCATTGGGAACGAACTGAACATTCAAGGTTTCGCAACGCAGATCGATACCATCTGGAATCCGGGCATCAAGCCGCAATTCCGTGACGGTGGCATTATCAAACAGCAGCTTGTATATCGTGGGCCTGTTATTGGATAACCATATCATGTCTCCATCTCCGGATATCATATAAACTCGTGGGTTGTCCATCAGCACGTGCCAATATTTGTCTCGGCAAGTCTTGGCGATTTCTAGCACCTCCTTACTCGTCATGGCTGTCTTGCGGAAGCTTTCGATATTCATCTGGCGCAGCACGTTGTGTTGCACCACAATCGGCAACGCCGGGAAGTCCATAACCTGGAATGGAAGGTTCAATAGATCAAATAAAAAGGCTGAATGCATGAAAAGAAATTTCTCAAAAACAAAATGCTTTTTGGGAACGCAAAGGCATGCGTCCTACCAAGAAAATCTGGGAAAATTGAAGCGAAGAAGCAAATGTAGTCGAAAATGAGATCAATGAGACGAGCACCAAATTTTTTCGGCCCAAGCCTAAATTTTTTTCTAAATAGCGCATGCGTTTCTAAATGGTTTTTAACTATTCCTGAACATAAAAACTACCCACATTCTAATTAAAAAATTTAATTTTAAGTCGAAAAATCCTATAGAACCTTTAGGATTAGCGGGGGGGGGGAAGACCCAAAACGCCCAATTTTCGACTTTTTCAAACATTTTTCTAACGTTTTTTGAAAGGTTTTTCTACTTTAAATATAGTTAAAATTTAGTAAAAACAATGTGAAAACACTTTATATTCGATTACTAGGTCAACCGGGAAAAGCAGGAAAAAATTTGGTTCCCCCCCGGAAATCCTAAAGAACCACCCATTTTCACTGAAGCCCTTTCCTAAAAGCCACGTTTGCTAAAACCCAAGTTTCTTGGAGGCCATTTTTCTAACAGCCGCTCTTCCTAAAACCGAATAGGCTCTAGCCCTTATTCTAAAACAAAATTTACAGATTCACCCAAATTTAAAAATGCACATTTTGCGACAGAAAAGCATCTTTGTGGTTTTTCAGAGGCGGGCCTATAATTAGAGCTCGAAAAGTTTGTAACAAAAGATGAAAAAATTTATTCGGGACTTCGAAATGGTGAACATGCGATTCAAAGTACTTATAGTAATCGGATAAGCAACAATCTGCATATGCTTCCGTTTTTGGGAAACGGGTTTTGAAGAATAATGACTTTTAGGCAAAGTGGCTTTTAGGATAAAAGTCTTAGGAAAAACCGCTTTTACGAAAAATGTTCTTAGGAAAAATGACCATCGACCGAGAACACCGTGGCTTCCGTTTTGCAAAAAATATCTCATCCCTCGCTCAATAGTGAACGTTTTCTTAAACACCACGCGGCCTGACAGCGTGAAATCAGCAATTATAAAAGGGCTCGGAAGTGAAAACGCGCGTGACCCGGGATTGAACATACTGGCCAAAACAAAACCAAAGGGGTCCTCCCGAAAAGCCCCAGGAAAATGTTATCGGTGCAAAAAAGGCAAATGATTTGAGAAAAATCGGCAGTTTTCGGGGCGCAATCCAGTTTTTTTTCCGGGCGATGATTGCATGTCGTAATGCCCTGTAGAAGAATTAATCCATCGATCTCGGTGATTCCCTGGCTAATTTTTATAATTAAAAGGGCTAGAATACTTAAAATCGCCTGCGGATTCCAGGAATGGCGTCAAGAGTTAAAATTTGCGCGTTTCCACGCCCATGCAGGGGGGACCGCTCTAAGGGGAGTGGACCGGACTTCTTGGCCCCTTTAAGAAGCAGATCTCGCGTAACTCTCCAGTCTCCTTCGTTTCAGCCCTAAGATTCGAGAATTGAAATTTATACTTAAGAAAACAAGTTTTCCCCTTTTCACGAGGGTTTGTTAGATATCCAAATCGTCAAAATCGGGTCACCACTCCGGTCCGTTAGGGGGGTCGATTTTATTGGGGGCACCCGTTATATATAAGACTGAAAAGGCGTGAATAATCGAAAAACACGAGAAAAATGACAATGAATCGATTAATGGCCAAATATATTCAAATCTACTGGGTATCCCAAAAAAAAACCCCCACTCGGCATTTGGCCAACTTCTATCCGATTCGGACCAAATTTTTACCCCAAAAAACCCCGATGGGGACCACGAAAACGATGTGCTGACGAATTTTCTATGTAAAATCAAAAAGTTATATCGAAATCAAGGTTTGTTTTGACGCTTTCACCAGGATTTTTATTGATTTGCACCTCGAAATGTTTAGCAAAATGAAGAGGGCGTTTTTTACACCCGGAGGAATTTGATTGACGAAAATTATGTCTAAATCGCGAGTTTTTATCATTTTTTATTAAGGCAATCAGAAACCGACTCGAAAGTCATCTTTTTTCGGAAAATCACTCAAACTCGGCATGATAATTGCGAAAACATGAGTACCAGCAATGCCCAAAAATCAGTTTTTAGGGATAACTAATTTGTTTTAAAAAATGTTGCTTAAATGAGTCGGCAGCACATAGTTTTTATGGATCCCCAACGCTGGTAAAAATTCGGTCCCGATCCGAGGGAAGACGGCCAAGGCCGAGGGGGGTTTTTTGGAGGCACCCTGTATACGTTGTGCGGGAATTACGCGTGTGGATCGAATCTTTTTGGGTGTGTGACTAGCTGTGTAGCCTCGGGCATCAGGCGAATATGCCGTCGGCATCTTTCGAGAGAAGACAAATTGAGTATGCCTTTCCAGCTAGCAAGAGAAGGACTACATGTAAAAAAGGCAAGCATTTAATAAGTTTTCCAGCGCTTAGAGGTAATTAAAAAAAATTCAAGCCGTTCAAACCATTCTGTCAAACTTGACCTTTAATGGGTTGTAACGCATTTATGAGGGACCAGATATAAAAATATTTATTCAATCTTATTGCGGTCGAAGAAAAAATGTCCTGACATCTGGATCGCAAGCGGCTAATTTCCGGTCTGTCGCGGGAAAAAGTGTCACAGAGTCGCTATCGACTTGTACCGCCATCAATTCACCATTATTCCGCTGGATACGGTAATAAATCTGGCACGACAGAACAACTCTAATTGACGGGTAGCTTTGAAGTAGTGGATCTAGATCCGGAAGCGGGTAGCAGAAAATCTCTGCGCTCTTGATTTCTCGCTTCCCTTCTAGCCACTGATCGATCAGTAATTTCAGGTATTCGGCCACATCATCCATGGGGACGCTTCCATAGCATGATGTTTCGGCGATCAATTTCGGGACGCGCAGATCAATGTATTTCGTCAGGGGAATCTTCGGGGAAAAAGTAGTGGTGAGAAGGCGCAAATAATCAATCGATTCGGACATCCATTCCATCAATTCCCGGTGGGGCTTGAAGGACGCTGTGACTTCGGTATATTTTCCGATCGGCTTATGGCGCTTCAGAATTGATAGCAGATTTTCGGCATGGAATTCCACTATCAAGCCTTCGCAACGGAGACCGATGATGCCATCCGGGATAGAGTCAGCTAGCTTCAGCTCCGTGACAGTAGCCTGATCGAAAAGCAGCTTGTGTAAGGCGGACCTCTTGTTCGACAAAACTACTGTTTTCCAGCTTCCATACATACAAAATCGATGACCTTCCTTTGAATAGTCGAGCCTTACATGCCAGTATTTGTCTCGGCAAGTCTTGGCCACTTCCAGCATTTCCCTGCTCGTAATGACTGTCCTGCGGAAGCTCTCGATATCCATCCGTCGCATCACGTTGTGTTGCACTTCAATCGGCAGGGCGCAGAAGTCCATAGCCTGAAAATGAATTGGATCATTTAAAGGATAAAAGAAAAAAAGCCAAATGCATGAAAAGAAAACTAAATGTTTCTGAATGGCAGCGGAGTTTCTGCACGAGACCATGCCGCCGGTGCGGAAATTGGCGTTGCTTCCGGATATGGTCGCCAAATTTGCGGAATCGCGATTTGCCGGAAGTTTTGAACGCCTCAAAACCGAGACATGAGCAAAAACAGCCATTTTCCATGAGTTTGCCCCAAATTAAAACGTCCATTAATCTGGAAAAACGCGATTCCGTCCGTTCCGTTCAGTCCGTTTCATAAAGAGATTCCAAATCAGCGCAAAATTCTGCGCAAGCTCGGCCTCGTCTAAACTTGAAACCTGGAACCGACTAAAGAAAACGCTTGTTAGAGGCAAAATGCAAACTCGGCAGGGCAAAAGGCAAAAGGCCTTAACAAAAAAAACCTGAGAAAATGAAGCGAAGAAGCGAATAACACAGAAATGAGATCAGCCAGACGATCTGTGACCTACAAAATAATAATCGCGCGGGAATTACACAAGTAAATTCGTTCCTGGCAGCATTAATAGCCGTGGGACCGCCGGTGTCGGTGGGATGCCCTCGAGTCACCCTCTCTCTCTCTCTCTCCCCCCCCCCCCCCCCCCCCCTCTCCTCTCGCTCTCTATCGCTCTCTATCGCTCTCTATCGCTCTCTCTCTTCTCTCTCTCGCTCTCTCTCTCTCTCAATCTCTCCCCTCTCTCATTCTCGCTCTTTGATGTCGGCACGCCGCCTTAATAGCCAGTGCAAAATCGAAATAGGGAGAACTCTCGTCCCGTAGCGGCTGCTGCTAAGTTGCTAGAAGTATAAGGCCCTTCATAAAACGGCTTTTATTTGCCATTTCAGGGCCCCTTAATGGATTGGCATGTATTTTTGTAGGGACTAACAAAAAAAAACATTTATTCAGGCCGGAAAAATCTGGTCTGTCATTCGAAACAGTCTCACAAATTCGCGGCCAATTTCTACCGCCATCGAATCGCCATTACTCCGCCGAATACGATAGCTCTGGTCCTGCCCACCGCTAATTGACGGGTAGCTTTGAAGTAATGGAGCTATATCTGGAAGCGGGTAGCAGAAATTCTCTGGGCGCTTGATTTCTCGCTTCCCTTCTAGCCACTGATCAATCAGTAATTTTACGTATTCGGCCACACCATCTATGGGGTCACGTCCATGGTGCGTGGACACGACGCTCAGTTTGGAGACGCGCAGATCGATGTATTCCGTCAGGGGAATCATCGGGACAAAATTATCGATGCCCAGCCACATAAAAGAAATCGATTCAGACATCCATTCCATCAGTTCCCGCTGAGGCTTGAAGCACGCCACGACTTCGGTATATTTTCCGATTGGCTTATGGCGCTTCAGAATCGACAGCAGATCTTCCGGATCGAATTCCACGATCAGCTCTTGGCAACGAAGATCGATGTCATCCGGAATGGGGCACCTAAGCGCCAATTTCGTGACGATGGTATTATTCAAAAACAGCGTGTTGATTGGCCCAGCTATTTCGTAACTATCGGTCCACATATAATGACGATCGTCTTTTGAATAATCGAGCATTACAGGCCAGTATTTGTCTCGGCAACTCTTGGCCACTTCTCGCACCTCCTTGCTTGTCATGGCCGTTTTGTGGAAGCTTCGAAAATCCATCCGTCGCATCACGTTGTGCTGCACCACAATCGGTAACGCGCAGAAGTCCATCGTCTGAAATGGATGGTTCAATAGATCAAATAAAAAGGCTGAATGCATGAAAAGAAATTTCTCAAAAACAAAATGCTTTTTGGGAACGCAAAAGGCATGCGTCCTACCAAGAAAATCTGGGAAAATTGAAGCGAAGAAGCAAATGTAGTCGAAAATGAGATCAATGAGACGAGCACTGACCTCTAAAATCTAATTATCGCGCGGGAATTACGCTAGTAAACGCGAGCCCATGACAGCACCAATGGCTCTGGGACTGTGGTATCGGTGTGATTTCCTGCAGACACTCTCTCTCTCTCTCTCTCTCTCTCTCTCTCTCTCTCTCCCCTCTCTCTCTCTCTTTCTCGCTCCTCTCTCTCTCTCTCTCTCTCTCTCTCTCTCTCTCGCTCTCTCTCTTTTGCTCTCATTCGATCTCACGCTTTCTAGCTTTCTCTTCCTCTCCCTCACTCTCTGTCCCTATCAGCTCCTCCTTGCTCTCGCCTTTCTCTATCGCTATCTCTCTCTCTCGCCGTCGCCTTCTCGCTCGCAGATATACGACGATCGAAAATATAAAAAGTACATGTGACCACCCGCGGAGTCCTAAATGGGACGATGTCGTGCTCCAAGATCCACCGGAAAACTCAATTTGGATGATCTTCTGTAATTAAACTCATTTGTATCACCGAGCCTTGAGCAATTTCTTTAAGAGTCCCCCCCAGAAGACACCCCAAAGCCCCGAGAGCAACGAGGTGTTAATCGGATTGCCTTCCCGTCGACTTATTTATCATTCCGGAAGCGCCGAGTCCGTCTCCCGCCAGACGCCTTGCTAAGGATACAATCGATGGCTGAATGACTCGGTTGATTTTGTTTAAATTTCTCTGTTCTATCTGTGTATTCCACGCTGTATCACTCCAGAAAATTGAGCAAATCGAGCTCGGCTACCGCTATCCATCCTACGCACTTCACGGATACAGCCTGAGGCTGAAAAAAGTAGTTACGAAACGTCAATGGCTTTTCAAAGGAAAAGGCCAAAATCCCGACATTCAAAATCCCGACGGCCATAATTCCGACAGCTAAAATCCCGACCGCTAAAATCCGACAGCCAAAATCCCGACAGCTTAAAACCATTTAGGGCTAAAGCGACGGGAAATAGAACATTTCGGCTGTCGGTGTCTTGGATATCGGGATTATGGCTGGAATTAGCTTTTTAATTTACGTATAACGTAATTTTACGATTTTAGGAGCTTCAAATCACTACCCAAGAGCCTAAGACTCTGCAGCTAAATTATGCAACAAGAAATTGTACTCAAGAAAATCCCCCAGAGGGTGAAAAACCCGAAAATCCGCGGGTCACTTGCTATGATCCTATCCCGTTTCGGATAAATGACAAAATTATGGACCCGATTGGGTGTAGGGAGATGAGGTATGGGTTTTATGGTAGACGTTGAAGTTTCGATTTCAGACCCCTTAGCATCGGATACCTCGAATTCCTCTACACCTGCCGTTGGACTGTCTCTGGCCAAACAGTGAAAATTTCCTATATTCCGTTCACGTCGCCGGATGACGTTTTTGCCGTTTCAATTCGGGTTTTGAAGTGGACAAGTAGGTTCTTGAAAAGACGGCTTAAAGGGCTAGTTCAACTTTTGGAGCTTGGGCTGGTACCTTGGGAAACTATGGACGTAGGCACAGTGCGCCCGAACAGTCCCCCATTACGGCAGCTATTAGAGATCGGAGAAATGAGAGAGGCGCAGACACAAAAACGCAGAGAGGGTTCGACTCCTGGCCACGGAAATTCTTTTGTTTTATTGGCGGAACTAGCCCTTTAACGGGGCTTTAAAATGACAAAATCTACCCCTCCAGTGGCTAGGTATCGACAACTACGCGAAGTGCCAAATGCAGTCCGGAAAATTTCGTTAACTCTCCCTAAATTCTTTTTCCTTAAATTTACGCACAGCTGGAAATTTTACCGCAGCCACCTCGCTCCAAAAAGCCTAAAAAAGCTATTCTCCATAAAAAAAATTTTGTTTGCAGAGAAATATAGACGGATTTTTGAAAAATTAATTTTTGCATACAATGGTGTTTGCGTTTCGCTTATTCTTGCGTCCGTGGCGGAATAAAATGATGTATGGGCGTAATTTGGCGCAGCGCGTAGCTATCGGTTTAAACTTACCTAATACCTTCAGGCCCTTTTCCAACCTACCTGCTCCCCGCTTCACCAAGGGAAAATAATGAACTACAACGTAAGCGGAATCAGTGAAAAACAGCAGAAAGCCTGCCTTACCATGGCCCCTTTTTAGTGATCATGATGAATCGGGATGAAATTCTCTCCATCGTCCCGCTGATGCCACAGTAAGAAGCCGATTTCATCTGATGTTTCACAAATTTTCAGTCCGATCACTGATTCGGCATTCCCCAGTGTCAATCTGTACGTACAGCTGCTGGATGCGTACGACGATTTTTCGATCGCTTTCTATGCGGGCTCAGATACGGATAATGACGAGAATTTACTCGTGCAATTTAGGTAATTCTTCAAAATTGTTTTGGTTTTTTAACCGTTTCAAAAATGTAATTTCAAGCCGAAAAACCGAAAGGCCAATTAGGCATTTTAGAAGAAGCGTGGCCATCGATACTATAAATTTTCTAGCGACTCTAGTTTTCAGTGATCCCCAAAGTTTAACGCTCTATTCCTCCGTCTTTTCATGTATAATTAACGCCAGCCACGGCGACTTCTCGTTGGAATTGCTCATCTACAACGAAGCCCGGCAAAGATGTAGGTGTCATTGTCGGCATGCCGTCCCGAAAATTGAAAAAAAAGATTCATTCCAGTTATTCGCCCATCTCTGCTGACCAGCCCGTTATACCCGTGGAAATTTGACAATTCAGAGCTAATTGATTTTTGTTTTGAGGACTCGGCGGAATGTAAGTAGCCGTTGCTAGAAATTTGCCAAGCTTTAGATTTCCGCCTGGAGCAGGTGACTGTACAGATATTTCGTCTTGAAGGTGGAACGATCGAGATCAGGGGTGATAATGATGAATTGATTGGAAAGTGAGAGAGAAGTTAGGGAGGGAGAGAGAGAAGAAGAGGAAGAGAGAGAGAGAGAGAGAGAGAGAGAGAGAGCGAGAGAGAACCAACCGGTTCCTAATTCATTAAAACTCAACATTTTTAAGCTACTCCCGTCTGGACTTGGGCAAGAATATACAACTGCTGCTCAGGGATCTGAAGGTACTCAGTTTTTCAATTTCCAATCGGTAAGTACGCTTCAGATCCGCTACTGCCCGAATCCAACGTCTACTGGTCGGCGAGGATTTCTGGTAACACTTTCGACAGCACCATATGGCCCTTCGAACGTCCCGTGTACACTGACTTTTCCGTTGAGTCGAAATGCCTCGATGGTGATGGTTCCGGAACAGTATACGATTAATATGGATGAGTAAGTGGTCGAAGGAAACTAGCGTAGCTCAACGTGTTAAACAAATTTAACTTGTAGCTACGACCTCATTTGCGTCACGATCCCAAAAGAGTCTCCGATGCCGTTGACCATCGAGACACGATTCTGCGACAGCACCCAGAAGCATCAATTCGAGCTGGGATATATGACGCACAATGTGACCGAGTGTGGCTCCAGGTACCTCACCAATCGAGTACAGCCACTTTTCTGCTCAGTTTCAATTTATCTATCGGCGATGATCCATTATATTGCTGTATCCTCACTACCACACTATCCCCTGAAGAAGTGTTGGGATTCCGTACTATTGGGAATGGACTACCACGGCCTAGTCTCTTCTTTCAAATTTTGGAATATGGTCCAGGTTAGTTTTTAAGACTGAACCGAGCGAGAGAGCACAAGACCGAGCGCCGGAGAGATAGTTAGAGAGACAGAGAGAGAGAGAGAGAGAGAGAGAGAGAGAGAAGAGAGGGGAAGAGAGAGGGGGGGAGGGGGGGGGGGGGGGGGGGGGAGAGAGAGAGGGGGGAGAGAGGGGAGGAGAGAGAGAGAGAGAGAGAGAGAGAAAGCGAAGGACACGGAGATAGAACAATGGCGAGAGAAGACAGAGAAAGAAAGAGAGCTCGGGAGGGAGAGAGACAGACTGACAGACAGAGAGAGAGAGAGCGACCGAGCGGGAGCGGGAGCGAGCTGGAGAGAGGAAGTGAGAGAGAGAGGAGAGAGGGAGAGAGAGAGAGAGAGTAAGAGAGCGGGAGAGAGTGAGACAGAAAGGGGTCGTTCTCTCCAATTTTGTCCTCAAACGCTCCCAGAGATAACTAGCCTAACTTTGATTAGTCCATGCTTTAGCCAACACCACCATCGTGACGCTCAATTTTAACCATACATCTGGAATTGAAAAATTTACGGTACCCGAAAATGCGGATAATGAGACGCTAGTGTTCTTCTCGCATCGCACGGATACGGCCTATGCCGATATGGGATGTCCACAATTGATCGTCTACGGGGTCTGGCGTTGATTTTAGCGGATAAGGGATGGAATTAGAGTCGTCGGAATGCACCTTGTGACTACGAACTCTACGCTGGGGCGTTGGGAAGGCACTTGGCAACCTTTAGGTAAGTATGGAATGTGTTAAATCGATTATGCCATGATATTTTAGTGACCATGAAGCCGTATTTCCGCAACTTGTCACATCCGAGACGTATTCGATCAAGATACCGCCGTCCTGCTCTCCGACGATAGCACTGCGGCTGGCTTGTTAGTTTAATAATGGAGCTGGATGCATAACTTTGCGTTAAATTCTAGTTTAAAACATGCAAAAATGTTGATGTCTTTAACGTAACTGGCAAGATTTGACTAGGGATTTTGAAAGCCAATGTTTGGCTAAGGATTTTGAGATGGCTGATTTGACGGACCGCGACACGCAGCGCACACGCTCGCCGCCACCATTGCGTAATTGATTGCGACGTTTTGCGTTGCGTTGCGACCAAGCGGCGTGCGCGTTGCGTTTCGCGGCCGCGGATAGTGCGCTACATATGCAACGTGCAGCACTCATAGGGAGGCGTAAAACTAACATTGTCGTAATTAAGATTAAGACGTTCTTGAAAATTGAAATAACACTATTTTTTAAAGGCATCCGTTTTTACAGCGCTCCAAAAAATACATGTCGTAATCAGATAGTCAATTATTTCAGCCGATTCTCCCAATGGAGTCCACCTGCCCGGGTACGGTATAGCCACCGTAACCGCTCCAGGTTACGGGGATCCGATGCACTCGCGATATTACGGTATTATGGAGATAAAGTGTTCGTGGCATAATGGTTTGGAAGCGATGACGTACCCCCAAAAATCGCAACCCTTCAGCGCATGGCGAGAAGTTTTTCTTAAAACTGGAGGTGGTAGAAGTTCTGACTGGTAGCTTGATGATCAGTATCTCTGATGGAACGGCTACTGGAAGCACCGAGTGAGTCAAAAATTCTTCAAATTGTTATTAGGCCCTGTGGACATCGATATCTTGCATGGATTAGGTATCGGCCATTACAATGCGTTAAATGAGGCCCTAAAATCCATCTCATTTTACCCGAAAAAATTTGGCTCTCAGCGTCTGCAGACGTCTGTTCTCAATAAATAACCGCCAAATGCCTAAATTTGAACTCTACTTTTATTTAGGCTCTCCTTCGACACATCGTACACCAAAAACGGCACTTGGTGGAGCTTTGAAAGTCCGGCGTGCATAAATGCAAGCTAATTTTATCTTTTTCGAAACTTAATATCACTACACCGACCAGAACTGCCATTAATTTCCGGTTTAGATAAGTTGGACAAACTCTCTGCTGATCCCACTCGGAGTACCGACTGGATTCTTGGCACATTTCGAATTTGCTCGACGTCGGGATGTTGGTGTTACAACAACTGCCGTCACCACCAAGTCTCGAGCTGGAAGCTATCACTATTTGCATCATCTATTATTGCTTGTATTAATTAGTTTGATACGCTGCTAATGGTATTTTCAAATTTAAGGGTTTTCCAAAGCATAAAAATCCAATTCCCAATTTCCAAACAAAAAATGGAAGGTAATGAAAAGATAAATAAATCCATTCAATATGATAATTTCTCTAGGCAAAAATGCACACGAGTAAGGCTTAAAAATGATGAGTAGTTCAAATGGTGTTATAATCGGATTATAACGGCCACAACAATTTATCATGCGGGAACCTAGTCCAATTCCAATCAAAGCCCATTATTCAATCGATGGCTAGATGGTACTAGGGGGGTGGCCTTTAGATTCGATACTGCCCGGATGGAGGCTCATCTAGAAAAAGGGGTTACGTAGCGATACTCACCACACAACCCTACATTCCATCAGACATCCCATGCACCACCATCTTTCCCCTGAATCGAACGGCATCGATGGTGTTAGTCCCCGCGCTAGTTGTTTCGGAAATGGACGAGTAGGTGACTGTCGGATACGCTTATTTTCAAGAAAGTCAAAATTGGATTCCAGAAACTCTGTATTCCAAAAATTGTCTTGCAAATAGTGATCCTCAGACTTTCGGCTCGTACAAAGATATAACGGCAACTTTGATGGTACCTTAAACCTCGCGTAAAGTCCCGGCACATTTTGGTTACGTACGATTACAAGACACCAAATTATGTGCCTAGAGGGCGACTTGCCGCAAAAGACAGGCAAGGCCAAGGAGATAGTTCGCAGGATCAATTCCTTTATTAATACGTATTAATAATTCTACGTTCAGGGACGTTTTTTTGGAAAAAAGCAAAGATTTTTGGCCGCGGCCGGGGGTCTACCCGGGTCCTCCGCTCGGGAGGCGCGGATGCATACCAGTCAGCCACAGCTACAACCTGACGGGGGGATAAGGGGGCCCCACGCCGCAAAGGAGGGGAATTGCCTGCCACGCCACGGGCAGGCAGTGCGCGCGGTCCCTACGTCCAGAGGGTGTATACGTTGGGAGGAGTATACGGCCCCTCCCTGAACGTACGCTTTAAGAGGTTGGAATGTGATGAATAATTGAACGCAATTTCGCAAATCCCGCTCGCAAATGGAATTATTTGCAAAAACGAACGAGACTCACAACTTTACAATTTTACGGAATTTTTCACGGGTTTTAACCGTCCAGATTTGTCGGATTCGTTTTCCCTCGTTCAGATTTTTCGATTCGGATTTACAGAGTTACAACTTTTGGTGGTTTGCCGATAGGGATTTTCGGGATCCGATTTTCGTGATTATCATCGTAGAATTATTTAAATCCAGCGACGACCTGATCTGCGTGACAATCCGACCGGATTCTCCGTCAGCGTTGACTATCGAGACTCGCATCTGCGACAAATCACAGAGCCAACAATTCAAGTTGGGAAACGTAACGCACAACATGACCGAATGCAAACACAGGTAAAATTGCGTAAAATACCCAGCGTTCCTAAAAAATTTCACGCAGCATTGAGAAAGGCGCAGAGCCATTCGAAACATACCTGCGATTTTCTAGCTTTTCGATCGATGGAGAAAACGTGTATTGCTGCACGATTAACACAGAAATATCACCAGGTCAAGTGCTAAGCTTTCGACTTTTTGGCCGCTTGTTGTTGAGACCCAGTCTATTCTTTCAAATTCTGGATGATACACCAGGTTCATATTTTTGTCTAATTGTTTTTCATAAGGATTAAAAACTTCAAATCCATTTAGCCAACACCAACCTGATGACCGCGACTTTTGCCTCAATAATCGACGTGGGAAAGCTCACGGTGCCGGCAAATGTTGAGAACGAGACGCTTGTGCTCCTTTCGCACCAAACGAATGCCGAATGCGTCAATATGACGTGCTCTCAACTCCTGGTCTACGGGTCAGCCAAAATTATATACCCCCATTAGTCACCTCAATTGAAAGTCGAAAACATAGGCCATGTGAGTACGAACTCTACACTGGAGCTTTGGGAAAATATCTGGCCACTTTTAGGTGAGCGTTAAAAGGAGTAGTGCGGCTACGGGTCCAAATTATTGCGCACCGATAGCCATGGAAAAACTATAGCAACAACTTAATGTTTGATTGAACGCGTATATTTAGTGACCATCAATCCGTATTCCCGCAAATCATCACTTCCGAGGTGTACACGATAAGAGTTCCGCGGAACTGTTCACCAACGATAGCTCTCCAGCCACCTGGTAGGTGAAAAGATTAACGATAATAAAAATCGATAACGCTTGGTAAATTCAATCCAAACGATTTCTCGTAGCAATGATAAAACGAACATGAGCGAAACGAAATGCGAGGTTCAAGTCATCATACAAGTCTGCAGAAGAACTTCTACCGGACTACTTCTACCGGGATACGGCAGTGCCGCGGTGACGGCCCCCGGATATGGTGACCCAATGCACATCGCCTACAACGGACAAATGACCGTCGGATTTGCGTGGATTAACGGTCTGTAACCTTTTGGAATCGATTTTGTTCGCTTCAGCGCACAACGAGACCTTTGACGTGCAAATCGACGTCGTTGAAGTGTTGGCGGGGGAGCTGATGATCAGCTTCCACGAAGCGGCGAGACAAACTGAGTAAGCTACGTCTTTTGCATGAAGGTTATAGCTTATCAAATTAGTCTACAACTAAGTTTTTCGAGGTCCTTATTTGTCGTAAATGCCACAATATCAATTCTAGAAAAACAATTTTCTTTAGCCTATTTTTCGATCGATCCTTCACTAGAAATGGCACTTCATGGAGCTTCGCAAACCCGGACTACATAAATGTGAGTTGTTTCCAAGTTTCCGAATTCTAAAATCATCTAGATAAGCTGGAGAAACTGGATGGCGAGCCCCTTCGGGGAATCCACCGGCTTTCTAGCATATTTTGATTTCCGGCACCCTGGTCGCACTACCGTACCAGCTGTGTTTCCCGACACTGCTTCAACAAATTTAAATTATCCTAATCATTTATTTTGTACTTTAATGCCTATATTAATAAGCTTTTACTCTCCTGCCGGTTAATAAACTGCTTTCCCTTTCAAAGCTAACTTTTGCATCTTTATTTCCGCAAGAATCAGCCAAAAAAAGCTTTATAAAATCTCATTGCGACCCAAGCAAAAATTTCCTGACTTGCTGATCGCAGGTCCATAAATTCTGGTCTGCCGCCGGAATATTGTTTCAATCGCATTTCATCGATTAGATGCTGCGGTCTCGAATTAACTGAATCCAGTGCATTTCCGAAATATTTACTAGAATTATAAGTGGAAAGGTATTTTATTCAAGTTCGTTTAAGGCTGAAGCGCAAAGCTTTTCTTAATTTTTGATCGCATCGATAAGGTAGATAGTACGACGTTGTTCGCATTAACAGCTCATACTCGGAGGTTTGGAGCGCCATCACGTCACCATTTCTGCGCTGGATACGGTAGAAGGGCTGAAGATATTGATCGACATCGATTCTCTCATAGGCTTTGAGGTAGGGCGTTAATAATTGCGCTGGCGAACCCCATCCGAATTGACGATCCATACAAATGGCGATTTCCTTAAATTCGCGCTTCTCCTGTAGCCATTCCTTGATAAGCAGTTTTATGTATTCGATGACTTGGGCAAGAGTGCTGCCAATGGGTTCCACCGACATGGTTGGCACACGTAAATCGACATAATTTAGCAGTGGAATTTGCAGCTGGACCTGCCGAGGTTCGTGTCGGGGCAGAAACTTAATATTATCCATCGATCTATTTATCCACTCGATCAATTCATCGTCGGGCATGAACTCCGCTCTTATCCAGTACTTCCCGATTGGCTTATGTCGCTTGAGAATCGACAGCAGATCCCCGGGAAAGAAATTGACTCGCAAGTTTCCACAATGGAGATCGATTCCATCCGGTACTGGAGCATAAAGCGACAGGTTTGTGATGGTAGCATTATCGAAAAGTAGCCTGTGCATTGTAGTCCAGTTCTTGGACCATTCAAACTTTTTATGTCTTTTGTCATAAATAGTAATTTTCTGCCCTTTCGACGTTTGCACAAACTCTCCATACCAATATTTGTGGCATGACGTGGCCACCTCCAACATCTTTCTGCTGGTTAGAGCTGTCCTGCGGAAGCTTTCAATATCCATTCGTTGCATCGCATTGTGCTGTACTTCGGTCGCCAACGCGCAGAAGTCCATTGTCTGAAATGCAAGATTTAATAGATCAGATAAAAGGCATACATCAGATACCCTAGTCCCTCTAATATCACCCCGCTGGTTATTTTTTCCATCATCCGGGGAGGCGGTTGTAATAGGGGGGGGGGGGGGGGTATAAAAGATGCTGGGCTCATATTTTTGATCGACTGGAATGCCGAAATTCGTGACAAACGCTACCCTAGAATATCCTGCTAACGGGTGGCCGAATACCCCCCCCCCCCCCCCCTCGGAAGTTGCGGGAGCGTACATAACGGGAAAAGAGGGGGCGTTTCTCATTTATCATCTAAGACCAGGATTGAAAAGCCGCAACGCGGCTTTTCACCTCTGGCCTTTGCGCGGGTATCTTTAAAAGGGGTAGTTGGGCTTTGCATAATTTGGGCGAAGCGCCAGAGCGAGCCCAAAGATAGCAAAAGCAACCGGCCGCGAGCATGACAAAACCCGAAATGAGCCTCCTAACGCGTCGTATGCAAATGAGGATATTCCCATATGTTTTAAAATAGCGAAAATTAGGTATAAAGCGTCATTTCATTGAAAATCTGATGAGCTTGCAGTAATCTACGCCCTCGTCTACCCCTAAATACCTTGCGACCGGGCCCTAAAATTCTTTCCCCTTCCCGATATCTTGGTAACCCGGTTTTTTTGAGCCATTTAGGCAAAGTGTCCACACACAAACACACAAGCACTATTTTTGTAATGTGAAGAATATCATGGTATCAGGTGGGGCCAGGGTTGAAAAGTCGCGAAGCGGTGGTGAATCCTTTAAATCACTCAAAAACGCAGTGTCAAACATAATCATAATAGAGCGGGTGGGGGGTATATTAGAGGATTAACGGTAGTAATAGCTAGGTGATAGCGAAATAATAAGTAAATGCCAGAATGGGGAAAAGAAGTGAGAGAAATGCAAAAGTGGATTAGCAGGGATCCGCGAATCAAAATTCCAATAATTGGTAGCACTTACTTAACCCCCCCCCTCCTCCCGTCGGAGGTCCCGAAGTTTTTCGGTGTAACTTTTTTATATTTTTATATTTTCCTTTATTTGTCGAAAGTATCATCGCGAATTCCCTAATTCGGATGATTCATTTCGAGGGATTTGAATGGGGGCATCCCCGGCGGTGGGGTCCCGCCACGCTCGCCCTGTGCGCGGCCTTTCCTACAGAAGGGCGGCGCCTGGGGGAGCGATCCAATTCCCTCTCGGCGGGTTCTCTCTTTTTGGGAGAATCCTCCTCGGGGATATTGTCCTCCTGGCCGTTCCCTCTTCCATGTGAAGAGGAATTGCCTTGAGGAGCTTCAGCCTTTGAACCAGAACCGTGTTCACCGGCCCCGAAAGGGGCAGGTGTACATTCCGCATCTCTCTTTATTCTTCCATTGCTCTCGGTGTATTAATGGTTCTAATAAACTCTCTTTACTATTCTCTCCAATAATCACATATCAGCCATATGCAGTAAACCGTCAATCTAAATCCACTGAACACAACCGATGCCTCTTTATGGGGGTCATACTCTCATTAGGGTGACAGTGGCAACCTTCCTCATATAGTTGATCCTATCCTATATGGGGAATGGAGTGTCTCCCTTTTGATATGGTGCGTCTCGGGTTACGGCCTCTGGTCTGCTCTTTGTGTTTATTGCTTTCTCTACTTTCAAATCTGTTTTTAGAGCCTTTTTACACGCAACAGGTATAGTTTTGCGTTCACGTGCGGTGGCGTGTCTGACCGTCACTGCCGGGCAGATTCTCGTGCTCCCAGAAGTAAGAATCGATGGTCTTCGTCTAGCTCCTCTACTGCCTCCCAGAAGGCTAGACCGAGTGAAGAACGGCGCTCCAACGCGTCATGGTGAAGTCCAGGGACCAGCCCCAATGCCTCGCTCTCACGCCGGTCTTCGGACCGCCGCCCCTAAGCCTGACTGGAAGGGGATTGGTAACCGTAGGGGTTGGCCGGGTCGGATGGAATGATCCGGGTTGGCCAACTATCCCCTAGTAGGGATTTATCCTTACGCCGCGGTCCTGGCCTTCCAGGAGGTGGGCACCGTAAGTCGTCAGAAGGGGGAGAGCGTTGCATTTGTCAAAGGTACGTGAAACCAAAACCTTGCCCGGTGCAAACCGTGTGCAGCCGTCTGATCAACGGCATGGCTTGAACCAAGACCGAGAACGGATGGCGCGAACACGGAATGGCGAAATTGCTGCGGTTGAAGACGACATCTCAATGGAAAAGTTCAACACTGGCCAAGAATTCGCCGTGACGATGGTGATGTGGCCGCAAAATCTACGCAATTCCAATGCCTTTGTTTTTGAACCAAAACCAACCGCCTTTACCCAAAACCCATCAATTTCTAGAAAATAGGTCGTCACCATGTGTGAAAACGACTTATTTCTAGAGATTTCTTGAACCAAAACCCTAAAGTTGGATGACCAGTACCAGAATTTGCGCGCAGGCCTTGCGCAAACCTGGGAAAGTTTGAAAACTAAACCAATTCCTGCTTGCAATGAAGAATTGGATGTGGATTGCGGAGAAAACTTTGCTCAAGTCGAGGAGAACGTGTGAAATGGTTGATTGGAGGCGTCGCGCAGTCGATGAGGACGCTGGTCGCTCGGCGGCCCTTTCGTTTCGACCAATTCACTGTTTTTCGTCGATGAAAAGTAATCTTTTTACGCATTTTTCCGTTCATTTCTTTCGGCTAACAGCGCTTTGCCATTTTCGGCACGCTGGTGCAAATAAACTCTATTTGCTAGCCGTTGCAATCCAGCGCAATACCAATTTCGGGGTAAAAAGTCATTCGGCTACGCAGGAACCTACTGCCACTTGCTGCTTGACCTTCATTCCTTTTTTCGGGAATGGAAACATCGATTTTTGAAACCAAAACGATTTTTTCAGTGTTGCGCGCAAACACTTTGCGTACCAACATTGGTCAAATCAAAGAAATTTTCAATGTTGCGCGCAATTCATTGCCCTCATTGCTAAATTTCTGATCCAAAACCTTTCTTTGGCTGAATTACTTCGTTCAGCATATGAATTCCATATGCTTGCGAGGTTTTTTGAGGCTAGGAAACTTGTTTTCCCCTCGATTTGCCATGAAAACAACTCAAAACCTTTTTTGAGAGCAGTGAGTGACCCTTTCACTACGTGTGAATCTACGCTCGCAGCACGCATTTGCGTGCGCTTCTCAAATTTTCAATCCAGAACCTGTTTGAGGGCAGTGAGCATGGTTTCATCAAGTGTGGAAAAGGGCTCGCGGCACGCATTTGCGTGCGCTTCTCACATTTTCAATCCAAAACCACTTTCTGATCAGTTTTCGGCCACAATATGAATTCCGTATTGCCCGTTAACTGGGGAAATCTTATTTCCTTGTGTCAGGAAGCTTGAACCAAGCCAAGAATTCGGCATTGAACGTGGCGATTGCTATATTGGTTGC